GGCCGACTTCAGCTGCTCATAGACCTGGCCATGGCCTGTGTCTGTGCGAGGTGGTGCCATGCCTGGAGGCACAGGAGCCGTAAGATGGACACCCAAAAGGTGGCCCCAAAGGAGAGGTGCCCCCTCTGGGCACCCTGGTCCTGCTGCCCTCCCACGTCCCCCTGGTCCTCACGGGCAGGGGTGACGCGGCTGGCCAACCCGTGCCGCTCCGACTGCTTCTCAAACATGAGCTCGCTGCGGGACTTGACGCTGAAGTACTCCTCCGCCTTGGCGATGTAGCCGGCCGAGCTGCAGCGCCGGACGTGCGGGGCGCCCGCTGAGCTCTCAGCCGGCTGCGACATGCGCAGCAGTGGGGGCAGGGTCTCCAGGAAGACCTAGGGCACGGGACAAGACGTCAGGCCCCCAGTGCCCACCCTGGATGCCCTCCTTGTTCTCTCCCTCCAGCCCCAGCCAGGTGAGCAGCAGAAGACACTGAGTCCTTTGGGGTGGTGAGGATGGGGCACGCCGATGTCGTGCCTGGGAAGTGCTGCCCTATACCCTCTGTGGAGCCCTGCTACACCCACCAAGAGCCATGGCTCCTCTTCCCCCAGCACCCCACTCACCTCTTTGACCCAGCTGGACATGATATGGGTGCTGGGAGTGCGGAAATGGAAGTTGAGAATCACAACGCAGATCACCACCACAGCCGTCACCAGTATCATGACGAAAAGCAGGTACCTGGGCGTGGGGGGACATACAGACCACTCCGCTCAACTCTATTTTACCCATTTGCAGGGCTGGCATCGCCACTGGGCACAAGCGCAGGCAGAGTCACCCTCTGCCACCCTATGACCCCCAAGATGCCAGGTGGTGGCCTAGACTCACTTGCCGATGAGTGGAATGGCATGAGAGGTGGGGGGCAGGCGCTGGGAGACAAGCAGGAGGAAGACGGACTGGGCCAGGAACACGGAGATCACCAGCGTCATCTTCTCCCCACCTGGAGAGCGGTGAGCCCAGGTCAGTTCTGGTCCTCAGGAGGCTACGGTCCCCTCCTGGACCCCCAGTGCCATGATGCCTCTTACTGCCCCCTGTATCAGGATCCTTCCCAGTGTTCCCAGTTGCTGGGATTACCCTCCCAGTGTCCCCATTGCCAGGATATTCCCATCAGACCTTCTGGAGTAGAGTGCCCTGGGTAGGGGGTTCTGGCTTAGGGGGGTCTCATATGGTGTATCTTGTGCCCTGCTCATGGTGCCCTTTGGCAGAGTCTCTAGCCAAGATAATGGGTTCCTGGTCCCTTGTTTGGGGTGTTCTGGTGCCAGAGTCCCTCTGAGGTGTGACTGTGCCAGGGTGCCTTGTGCTGGTTGTTGGGGTGCCCCTCTGCCCCAAAATCTCACGTGAATTTTGAGGTGACCCCATGTTCCAGGGCCCAAGCAGGTACGGGATGTAGTGTGCCCTACAGGATGTCCCCATGCCCAGCACTGGTGTCACAGGACTTGCTCACTGTCAGCAGGCAGGTAGAAGACGAGGATGGCCATGAAGGCGATGAGGACACATGGCGTGACGATGTTGATGACGTAGAAAAGTGGCTTGCGCTTGATGATGAGGTAGAAGGTGATGTCCTGGTACTCACTGCTATCACGGGGGTTTTCGGGGTGGATGTTCTTGCGGGCTGGGCGATGGATGATTTCCCATTCCCCATTTTCTGTCAGGATGCAAAGGAAAGTGGCATGGGGGAAACCAGCCCTGCCTGTCCTCCACAAGCCCAGCCCACCTGGGGTTTCACCCTTCTTTAGTGTTGTCCCCATCCTCACCACCCCAAGCAGAGATAGCACCAGGCCTGAGTGCCAAAGCCCTGCATACAAGGGTGTCTTGGCAATGGGGTGTCCCTGAGCCCCTTGCAGTGTGTCCTGGTGGTGGGCTGCTCCTGGGCCCTATATGGGGCTCCCCTGTGCCCTATATGGGGTGTCCTGGTGGCAGAGCACCCCTGAACTCTGTACAGACTGTGCTCCTCCCACAGGGCACAAAAGGAGGTGCCCGTTACCTGTGAAGCCTTCAGGGTCGATGATGATCCACTCTACTAGGTATTTCTTTCCCGTCTCCATGTCAGACTCCTCCTTCAAGTGCATGGTGATCTCCTCAGCATTGTATGCCAGCGAGCTGGCCCAGAGAACAGGCAGTGACTTTCTGTGTCCACTGTCATCTCCTGGCTGCCCCCGGCCCAAGTCTCCCGCACAAGGCCAAGAGCCCCCCTAGTCACCCCACAGAACCCTCCCTGGCTGCCCTGCCCTCCTGCCCATGCTACCCTGGCCTGCCAGCACCGCAGCACCTGAATTTGAGGGTGCAGTTCTGCCAGTCGAAGGGGAAGAAGTCGACGTTGATGGGGCAGGTGGTGCGGAAGATGGCCGGCGGCAACCAGTAGACATAGCCCGTGCTGTAGACGAGCACGTTGCAGTAGTAGGCGATCTGGAAGAGGCCGTCATTGCTGCGCCGAGAGAGAGCAAGGTGGGCACCAGGGCCAGCGGTCTATGCGGGGTGGTCCCCTTGGTGCTGGGGAGGGCTCAGCCTCTTTGGTCAAGGACGCCAGCCACCCCATTGCTGGTGGGGGCCTTGGCCAGCCCAGGTTGGGGTGCAGGAGGGGAAATTGAGGCACATCTCACTTGTTCTCCATGACGATCTCGGGCAGCCACAGCATGTCTGGGGGCAGGCGGAGCACCGTGATGTCCCCAAACTCAGACTCGTTCCACTGCAGACGGTAATCTGTCCAGCCCTGGCAGGGAGGATCCCTGGTCACCCCTCAGCACATGGGCTGCCCTGTCCCCATGCCCCAGGGCACAGTAGCACACTGCAAGGCCGCTCCCTAGGGCAGGGGGTGTGGAGGAAGGAAGCAGGGAGGAATTTGGCAGTGCTGGACCCCCCCCTTCTCTTACTCACATGTTCAATCCACAGGTTGGTGGTGAGCGTCTCATCCACCTCTTTCTGCAACAACAGCACAGCACAGTGGGATGACAGGGCCATATAGCTCAGCCTTGGCCCAGCTCAGGCACCACTGCCAGGCAGGGTATCCAGGACAGCGATCCGAGTACCTACCCCGCAAACCCACCCCATGGGATAAGATGAGGTTAACGGCAGGAAATGCTTGTGGGGGGGGCTCACCAGCGAGACCAGGTTGGAGAGGGTGAGGGCGAGGTAGACATCCACAGTCTCATCGCTGGAGACGACGGGGCGCAGCTCCTTGTCGTAGCCCTTCTCCTCAAAAAGGTGGTGGATGAGCCGTTCCTCCTGGTTCACGCAGAGCCCTCCTGGGGGGCGCAGAGTCAGGCCCGGCCCCATCTAGCCAATGATGCCCCATGAGGACATGTGGTGATGGCAGGGTAGTGTAATGATGCAGGGACAGACCAGGGTCCTGGTATGTGTATCGCACGCTGCGGCATGGAGGTGGACATGCAGGAATAGACCCAGGCATGGGGCACGTGGGCACACCTGGCCAGGGACACAGACATGGGCACGGACATGCAGGAACACATGGACACACAGATATTGACTCTGCATGCAGAAGACACACAGAGACACAGCGTGGTGGCACAGTACATGTGGATGCACACATGCAAGGACAGACACAGGGATGCAGTGGCACAGCGCACACACACACACACACACACACACACAGCTCCCGCAGGGACGCAGCACAGGCAGGATGGCAGCGAGGACAACACTCAGCCATGCAAATCTGCTGGGTGCCAGCAGCCCCTGGGGACACTTGTGCCCAGTGTCATCCTGCCAGCTTTGCTCCTGGCCCTGACCCCCCACCAAGGGGGCTCAGGCCCCCCCATCAACAGGGCACAGCCCCAGCCGTATGCTCACCCGCCAGCACACGCGCCCCGCGCACGACCAG